TTTAATCCAAAATGTGCAAGGGGGATATTTACCATGTTAATATATACCTCACTTGTTTATTTAAAAAAAAAAGGGATATTTGTGCTTATGACTTGGGAGAAATTTTTCAAGGAAGTAAATGGATGGGAATAAGAGCAATACAGGCATTTTTGTGGAACTTACGTATAATCTATGTAATAATAGGTTTTTTTCCATGGATTGGACCAACAGAACAACCCTTTCATTACATTTTAATGGAACTTAAACATGACTTTATCACATAATTATCGTGCTTTTAGTGTTAAGGAAAAAATTCCATTCCTAAGTGATAAGGGAGGTGTTTTCGAATTTGACATTTTGCTTGCTTTATGAACAGAAATACAGGCAGCGGGGAGCACATTTGGTACTTACTTCCGCGTTACAACATTTGGAGAATCCCATGGAGGTGGCGTAGGTTGCATAATTGATGGATGTCCTCCACGGCTTCCCATTTTAGAGTCTGATTTGCAAGTAGATCTTGACAGAAGGTATTTCTTTTTTTTTTTTTGAAATAAAAATGTATAGTATATATTAATAAGGCACCAAAAAGGAGGTACCACCTATGTACAAAAGATTTAAATCATGTTAGGGTATCAATGACATTCCCAAAATCCACAACACTAATAATGTTATGTTCTAATAAAATAGTACCAAAATAGTGAATTCGCCGTTCTTTTAATCTATTAGTGCTATTCTCAACACTATCAAAAGGCCTATCACTTCTTTCCTTCCAAATGACCCAGAAACAGTCAAAAGAATCAAGTTAGCAATCTTTTTTTTTTACATATAGCTCATTTCAAGCCCATATTTCTCCCTCAACAGACCCAGCAGCTACCCAATCAATCCCCATAAGGCTGTAGATCAAATACGATAAGCTGTACACTAACGGACACCATCATAAGAGATGTTTACACATTTCCTCAGCTTGCAGGCAGCAGTAGCAACCATTAACCATCACTCTTCCTCTAATCCTCAACTTGTCAATGGTCAAAATCCTCTCCCAGCATGCCTCCCAAGCAAAAAAAGAAATATGGGGCGGAGCCTTAGTTTTCCAAACTTGCTTGACTGGAAAATTCTGTCTAGTCACTTTCACTTTTCTGCCTAGTTGATTGTAGTAAGACTTGACTGAGAAATTGTCATTTTTTTTCAAATTTCCACATAATCCGATCCATAGAGATGTTTACACTTTTCTGCTTAGTTGATTGTAGTAAGATTTGACAGAAGGTATTTCATATCGGGGCTAATCGTGAATTCACTTTAAAGCATATAGTTTAATTCACAATTCCAGGGTTTGTATTTGTTGTATGTTTATACAAGTGGCTATGGATGGCAGTGGGACAGGCCGTTTTCCCAAGCATCCTGCCACTTCATCCCATACCTGTTCCATGCCTCATGCCCAGGGTGGGTATTGAGGTGTAAATCCATCCACATCCCGTACCCGGTCTAGGAAGTAAATATGGATCCATGCCAGTCATTGGGTTAATTGTCCCATTTACTTGATAAAAATTTTAAATAATAGATTATGTGGACTTTTCCTCCTACTTTGGAGGCTTTATTGTCACCTTAGCAGAGGGGTTCAATGAGGAGGGACAAGCTGAGCTTTATGGTTTGATGCCTTATTTCCACTCTCATCTAATTTTGAATATGGTGGACCAAAGCACACGAGTCTTTTTTAGGAACTTATATTTGTCTACTTTGCAGAACGGAATTAAGAGGCTCTAGTATGTTAAGGCTTCCCTTTTTTTCCTTGGTCCTGTGCGAGATGTCTTATCCTCTCTCTATTTGCTATTTTCTGTTCTTTATGATATTTCCTCTTTTTAGGGAAAAGAATTGGGAGGTTCATTGTTCTCCTTCTAATATGTTTTGTTCCATAATTTATAGAAAACAGGGCATAAGGTTTCCTACTAAGACCAATAGAAAATAAATTATAGAACTTTTTCTTTAATATAATCTTCTTATTTCTTACAAGTAAAAAGTAATTTAAAATTTTTCAATATTAAACAAGTAGTATAAGTGAAACAAAAGATATTTAAATTAAAATGAACAATAGAATGTTATCTAATATGTGTATTCAATGTGTACAAAATAAGCAGGCAAATCAGAGAAGATCTTAAACACCTACCTGCCTTGTTTTTGTCCATTACCCACTAAATTACCTTTTTATCCATCCCATTCAGGATGGGTTGGGACAGGTACACGGGTTAGCCATCCTGTTACTTTCCGTACGAGAGGCATTGCCTGGGGATAGAGTTTGTCCTTAAGTTTTGCAAGTTGTTATTTTTCTGCTTTTTTAGCTGTAGTCTCTGAACCCATGGTAAATTATGTGCAAGGATTAATAATTAGAGTTATTTTCTTCAGGAGGCCAGGTCAGAGTCGAATTACAACCCCCAGAAAAGAGACTGATACATGCCGTGTCTCTTCTGGCATTTCTGAAGGTTGGATATCTATTTCAAATTTAAGATTGTTTTTCTTCTGGTTCTTTTCAGCTGACAGCTAAATAATAATTGCTTGTTGTCTATGTGTACTGATGAGCAAAATCTATACTGCAGGATTGAGTACCGGAGCACCGATCCACGTGTTTGTGCCAAATACTGACCAGAGGGGACATGTAAGTATCTAGTGTAAGAGACTCATAAACTCAGACTTTGCCCTTCAAACTGTTGTTCGTATCTAATTTAATTTATTCTATTCCCACGATTTCTTATCACCCTCAAAGATGAATCACTTGAGTGTAATATTTTTTTTTCAAGAAAGAAACTGATAGAAAGGATCTGGTTACGAAAAATGAAAGGTTGCATCCATTTAGTCCTTTTACCTTGAACAGCACTAAAACACAATGTTTTTGAGACAGTCATACATTTGCCAATATTGATGTTTTTTTCCTTGGATATTTATGCAGCTTCAATAATCATATTGTTGGATTTCAGGATTACAGTGAAATGTCCGTTGCCTATAGGCCTTCTCATGCAGATGCAACTTATGACATGAAGTATGGTGTCAGATCAGTGCAAGTAATTTCCTTTTCATCATAGTTCTATTATATGCCTGGTATTTTGGAAAATTCAGATAAATCTAATTCCACTCAGGCTGCACTCTGTTTATAATTAAGGGTGGAGGTAGATCTTCTGCAAGAGAAACAATTGGAAGAGTTGCAGCTGGTGCTGTTGCCAAAAAAATTCTGAAGCAATTTGCAGGAACTGAGGTGTGTGCTGTTTTATCCACTTTGGGCAGAGAAACTTGGATAATGTGTTCTGCTGAACTTGTTTTCGAATCATGTTGTGGCAATGGTTGTCACATTTCAATGTTTCATTTAGTGCTTATGGGAAATCATTTACTGCATCTAATTCCTAGTACAAGATGGAACCCAATTGAGTAAGATAATTGTGCTTGCTTTAATCTCTCTCTTAAATATTTCTGAATACTACTACTGAGAGCTGTCATCAATCAGGTCCCAGGATTACTTGGCAGAGAAGTTAAGCTACTGAAAAATTATTGTATCTGACACTTGAGGAGACAGACAGTTCTATATACCTGTATCCAAATGCATTTCTAAAGTTAGAATGATGTTCAAGTTGAGCTAAAAGAAATCAGAACTATGAGCTTGATTAGGAGTTCTCTAAAACATTTTTCTCAGAATGGTATTTTTTTTATATGATATATTTCCACGAAATATGGCTTTTCAAGCAATACATATCCAATTATTGTTGAATATATTTATGCTATTAAAAAAATTAAAAACAATTTTGTCAGTGTACCTACAGAGAGAATCTTAGGACTAGCTGAGGCTAAGGTTGAGTGCCCATGGTTCATATTGTTGGTTTGTTTTTTTTTTTTCATATTTTTTTCATAAAGGAAAGAATTCTGAAAAATGCAGCCTACTATGGCTGTTTGCTCTAAATGTACTGTGAACTGAGGAAAGTTTGTGTTCTTTTTTTTCCCGGTGGATTTAATTTGTACACTTTTTACCCTTGCTACTTTGGTATCTTTTAGGTTCTTGCTTATGTCTCTCAAGTACACAAGGTTGTGCTTCCAGAAGATCTGGTTGACCATGACACATTGATTCTGGATCAGGTATGGCTTATGCAGACAGATTTTTCTTTAGCATATGCATCTCATTCAGAAAACCATTAGCTCTTAATAATAAAGAAAATGATAGTTAAGATGATGATTGGGTTGAAAACTTTTCAAATGTTATTTTAGTGTTTTCTCGCCAGATTACTCATATGATTGACTCCACTATCATGATATTGCTGATTGCTTCTGACTGAGAATTTCCTAACTACTTCGTGTGCATGCTTTTCCAGATAGAAAGTAATATTGTGAGGTGCCCTGATCCTGAATATGCTGAGAAGATGATAGCTGCTATAGATGCTGTCCGAAACAAAGGGGAATCTGTAGGTGGTGTTGTCACATGTATTGTTAGGAATGCTCCACGTGTATGTACTCTCTCCCTAAGATATATGCATACACATTTTCTATATGCTAATATGCATCCTTGACATTTACAAATGTGGATGCTTTCTTTCATTGAGCTCTGCAGATATATCAAATGCTTTATTGGATAGCTCTTATTTTAAAGAAGGTTGAAAATTCATAATTGGATTTCAGGGGCTTGGTTCACCAGTCTTTGATAAACTTGAAGCTGAACTGGCTAAAGCTGTTATGTCATTGCCTGCAACGAAGGGTTTTGAACTTGGCAGTGGCTTCGCAGGTTGAGATTGAGAAATTCGTATTTGGTTCAATTTCATTATGATTGTTGTTCCCATTTGAAAATTGACAGGATATTGCTCAACTAAAACCCTATTATAGAAATTCCGTCCCCCTTGCTCACCAACCTTAATAATGCAGGCATTTTGAATTTCTTCTAACTCTTTGTGAATGGAAATTACTACAGGTACTTTTTTGACTGGTAGCGAGCATAATGATGAGTTCTATACAGATGAAAAAGGAAGAATCAGGACAAGAACAAACCGCTCTGGTGGGATACAGGTAGCTTGAATTATACCAAGACAGTTTTAACGTAAGCTTAAACCATTCATACCCTGGCTTAGTCCAGTATATGCTGGCGGCCTCTTATTGAAAAGGCCTTCGGTTCAAGCTGTGTAGGATATCTACCTGCTTTACATTTAGCACCAAAAAGCATAGGCTTAACTGTTTGGGTCTGCTTAATTGAGTGAATTTTCAATTTATCAGGGAGGAATATCCAATGGGGAAACTATAAATATGAGAATAGCCTTCAAGCCAACATCTACAATTGGAGTAAGCTCGATCTCTCTCTCTCTCTCTCTCTTACACTGGACTTCTCGTTACTTTCACGTATGCAGTATGACAATGCACATTGTTATGCTCAAAACTCGTGTCTTTTTGCGCAAGTCAATGTAGAGCCTCTACTCTTATATGCTTTTATGAACTACTGAACTTATGGTTTGCTGGGGCCGTAGAGACTGCATATGATTTCTACTCTTCTTGCTTGTTTGTGATGTTGTATACCAGAACTTGGTATTATTGTAAGAAAATTAACTTGCTAAACAGAATTTTTATTTTCATCAAGTGGACCTTCGAGATGGATGATTATAATTCTTAGCGTGTATCCTTTTGTCTTGTACATGTGCATTTCTAGTGCAGTTTGCAGGAAGGTTTTTAAGCATTGATCTTACTTTTTTGCCCTCTTTTCTGATACAGAAAAAGCAAAACACAGTGACTAGAGATAAAAAGGAAACAGAATTGATAGCTCGTGGCCGTCATGATCCCTGTGTTGTCCCACGAGGTACTTCCAAATACATCTCTTGAAAAATGCACATATAATCTCCCCCTTCATAACAGTTACATTCGCAAATTTGCTAATGACTTGCAAAAATCTTGCATTAGTCAGTCGAGAACTGGTTATCGGTACCAGACTAAGAGACACTGTGCAGGAAAAGTTATCTAACAAACACAAATAAGGAGACAATTAACGGTTTTTTTTTATCTCAAGTACTCGTTTAGTCGGGGGGGGAATTTATTATTTTCTCACAGAGGCTTGTTTCCGGGGTGGTAAATGCAGCGGTGCCAATGGTAGAAGCTATGGTGGCGTTAGTTCTAGTTGACCAGTTGATGGCCCAATTCGCGCAATGTCATATGTTCCCCATCAACCCAGATTTGCAGGAACCTTTGAGGTTGCCAAAGGTGGAGGAGCCTGTCAACTTAACATTTTAGATGATTGTGCATCTCCCTGTCTTCTCTGCTCAACTCTACTTCAATATTTCTGTGTTATATCTCATCTGGGATTTGATTCTTCAGTATCCTGCGGCATACAAATCTAAAGTTTCCATTGTCACTTTTTTTTTTCTTTCTTGTTATATTCAGGTTCTTTATGTTGTACTCCCTCATAAAATTAAAGGGTGTGTTTGGATTTACCCAGTAATAATAACAAAATGATTTTTGTTGAAGTATTTGTGGAAAATTTCAGTTCTTGGGTTTGGAGATTTTCACTAACTACTACTATAGACGTCAAAAAATCAGTCAGTGTCTCTGTTTTTTGTTCTTATATCAACTCTGATATAAACTCAACATAACTTATATGTATAGGGTAACATTTGACCTACCCAGATCCCTTAGTCTCTAGGGCCTAGCTTCTTGATTATATAGATGAACACAGATATATATATATATATATATATATATATATAGACACATATTATACTACATAGAAGTTAACTCAGACATAACCTTTGATAAGAACATTTGAACTATACAGATTCTTTTGTCTTATACCCATATCCTTGATTTTAGATTAACCACACAATACACACACACATATATACATACATGCATACATACATATATATGTATACATATGTGTGTATATAACTATTAGTTAATTTAGACATAATTATGTAAATTATAATCACAGACAAACCTCAATGTCTTTTAGGTGGGTTAGTTAAGACTTAACATTTGTACTTAAAAGCCTAAACCATTATTAATGTGGACTTTACTCACATGCACTATACGTATGTGTATATACATATATATATATATATATATAAAATATGTATGTATGCTAATTAAATTCAATTAAAAGACCCACCAAGTAAAGAATCTCCTATTTGAAAAAACGAAATACTACTGTTGATTTAATTATATTTCTCCAATTTTAATTATTTTAATTATTAGCCAACTACTAATCTCAACATAAAATCTGATTAGTTCAAGTAATTACAAAACTTAAAAACCTCAAACATAATTCTCATTGATTTTTAGCTGTCGTCATCATTTTAATTAAGACACTTTAATCAAATCAATTAATTAATTAATTAATTAATTAATATTTGACATTACACTATAAGTATATGGAGAAGAATGGTCATGCATGAGTCATCCTCATAATTACATACCCAATTTGTATAATATATATATATATAAAAGTTATCCTCTTATTTATGTTTTAGACTCTAGAAAGTCTAATTAATTAATTAATGTGTGAATGGGAGAGAAGATAATGACAATTAGGTCAAGCACTGTGCTTGAGCATGGAACCCTTTAATCATATACAATGAGATTGATAAAAGTAGATTCCATTATAAAGTTAGGGTTCATATTATATATTGGTGCACTAATATATATATATATATATATAAAGAAGATAATATTGATATGATTGGGACAGATTAAATTAATAAGATCAAGATTATCATGCTGACTGAACCACAAACAGTGAAAATAACATATGTTTTATTATATATATATATATATATAGATACATATAGAAAAGCCATGTCTTTCCATTTCTATATAAAGTAATAGAGATTAAACTATATAATAATTTTGTTTAATTTAATAATCAATACATTTGTTTTCTTGATATGAAATTATAAAGATAATGTACATATATATATATATATATATATATATATAAATATGTATGCATTCTTTACTTAAAAAATTATAGAATAACCTTTCTTTTATCTCATATACTATATGTTTGACATAATATAAATTATAGAATGACCATCTTTATGAACCTAATAATTGGTGCATTAATTTTTTTTAATATAAAGTTTTGAAGATTATTTACTAATATACAATAAAAGATACGTACCAATAAGGACAATTCCACATGTGGGTGGTAGTTGTTTATTAGGGTTTATATTGACTTCATCTTGTAATCAATTTCTTTTTTTTTTTTTTAATAAATTGAATTTATGAACCATAAAATATTGAACATTTATTTACTAATTTTCATAAATAGTTTATATAATTTCAATTTATTATTATTTTCATCACTTATTTAATTAAAAATACATGTTTAATTATTATAATAATTAATTAATTTTTTTTAAAGTTGAAATATAATTACTTTTATTTTCTTATAAAGTGGATGTAAAATGCAATTCGTAGCCACCAATCATTGCATTAATCAAGAGATGAAAGCAAGTTAATGTGGTCTCTCAATTTTGACACGACATGCACCGTTCTCGTGAATAGTACAAATCCTATTATTAAAGAGAGATCCTTATCTAATCAAGCTACTCATATATATATATAGAAAATTATAATGATTGGTAAAATTCTCGTTCGTTAATTATTCATCGCGTATTTATTATCATAACTGTTAATGATTCTGAAATACTAATTTATAGATGTTAAGAGTTAAATTGATAAAAATTTAAAAAAATATAAAAATTTAGATGTAAAAAATTAAATAGTACAATAGTCTATATATATATATATATATTTTGGACAATTTTACTATTATCTTGAAAAGGGTAAACCAATTATGGGTTTGTATGGACATGATTGGGTTGATAATATAAGGTTGGTTTGTAGTCAATTTAGGGGGGTGGGGGGGAAGAAAAAGCTGTTTATACGGATCAAATTTATGAAATTGAGCTTTTTGGGTGTCCTTATTTTGACATGATATATAATATATATATATGTATATGTATGTGTTGTATGTATATATGGGTGTGGGAGCAAATGGGTTGATTAGACACCACCTCTCGCTCATCATAATTGAGATTATCATCATTAAACTTAACCTCAAAGACTAAGACTAAGTATGGGAATATGAAAACCCTATTTTTTTTTTTGTGTTTGCCATCTTTGGTTAAAAACCACTTTTCACTTTGTGAAAACTTCAAAAAGTCTAAAAAGCACCAACTTCAAATTTGACAATCACCAAAAAGTTCTTTAATTTCGTGAATGATTTCTTTTTGGGGTTGGATAAATTAATTATCGTAATATCAAATCACCAATTATATGATATATGTATGTATGTATGTATATATATATATATATTCTTTTTAATATTACATAATATTATAATTTATAATTTTTAAATATTATTTTTATACCCCAAAAATTTCACTATTTTTGTCCATGCCCACTTTTACATGTGTGTATATATATATATATATAAATATATGTGTGTGTGTGTGTGTGTGTGGGTATGTATGTATGTATAGGTACTTTACGTGCCATGTTAAACTTTGCTTCAAGAAGTATAAAGTTCTCCATAGTTGTCTCAGGCATGCTGCTTATAATTATTTTTTATCAATCTCACTTTGCACTTCAAGAAGAGTATATAAAGGTCCCCTTCAGCAATACATCTCCATCTGAGGCTTACAGAATGGCGTGCCCGCATGCTTAGTATATATAATATATTATATAATATATATATATATGGTAAATTTAATTAACGATAATATAAAAACTGAACCCTTAACTTGATTCCTTATTCGATTTCTACTAAATGCTTGGTTTTATTTTTCATATGATTTCTAGTACATAAACTAAAATACATTTTTTAAATCACTTATTTATAAAAATGTGTGTGTGTGTGTGTATATATATAAATATATATATATATAGATAAGTACTTATTCCATCAGTCCATCCAATTAATGCCCCACAAATCATTAGCTAACAGTCAAATAAAAATAAGAGGCAAGGCAAAAGCTACACACCCATAAACAAAACCTATATATATACATACATACATACATAACATATAAACAAAAGAACAGAGCAAGAAAGTATTTTAAAAAATGAACGAGAAAAAATTAGCAAATCTCCTTTTTAACATAAACAAATTTTTACAAATGGGTTTTCGAGTCTTTCACTTGCTCCAAACAATATATATATATATATATATAAATAAATATTACGAGCGCATGAAACAATTTCTGCAAAGACCTTAACCTCGTATGGAGGAAACCCTAAAATTCCTATGACGAAAGCTGAAATAAAATTACACAAGAATCAAGATTTTCTATTCCTTGCAAAGATTTCTTTCTTCACAATCTATCCCTCCAAACATATAAATTACCCCATATAATTCCATCAATCTCATTCTCAGGAAACATGCCTGGTTTTTTCTTAAAAAGAACAAAGTAACCCAATTCTCCAATCCCTTCTTGACCACTACAATCTACACTTAAAACAGAAATGCAAGGAAGAAGAAGAAGAAGAATGAAATGTTCAAAAGAAGACAAAAGGACAGAGAAAGGTCAGACAGAATTTTTTTTTTTTTTTTTTCCCTAAGCTTGTAGGGTTCCATCACCAATGCAGGTCACCCTTCAACCCCACTAAAGTTACTCAAGGAGGAGAGAGAGAGAGAGAGAGAGAGAGAGAGAGAGAGAGAGAGAGAGAGAGAGGAAGGGTAGAATGGTAATGAGAAAAATATTGGAGCAGGGATTTTTTTTTTTTTTTTTCTTTTCCCACCATAAATTTTCAACTGAAAATCAAAAGATTCACACCTGATTCTTTGTTTGACCTTCAAAAGCTTTAAAAAAAGAAGAATAAAACTGAGGATTTTTCTTTTGCTTTCTTTTTTTTTTTTACCTCCTGGTTTCTTGCCAATGTAGAAAAGTGGAGTGGAGACCACTATGCCTGTCCTCTGCTAGGCAAAGTATCCCACTAAGATCTTCCACCTTTTTTTCACTACTCCTTGTCCTTTTCACTCAACTCTCTTCTTTGGCTACCTATCTTCAAATTTTTAAAGTAAAAGCTGCTATACTACTTTTCTTCTTCTTCCTTTTTTTTTTTTTTTTTTTTTTGCTCCATCATCAATCTTTTATCCCCCTGCATTTTGAGAACAAAACATATGAAAACATATAGGATAAAGTTCATGTGAATTGCATGAAATCACATATAGATATAATATGATGTGTTCTTGTGTGTGGCCTGCATTGGAGAGTGCAATGGAAAGGACCAAGCGCAAAACTCAAAGAAAGAATGAGGAACAATTGTGTAAAACCTTTTCAAAATTTGAGCCTTATGTTTCCACTTTCTCTTCTTTATGAATAAATTTGAACAAGATGTGATTGATTCCTTCCTTTGTTTTTTTTTTTTTTCCTTCATATTTTTAAGGTAGTTTAAGCTCCATCCTTTCTGATAAAATTAGTTGAGAAGAGTACTACCAGCTCGGTTGTTAATAAAAAAATTCTATAGAGCCTCTAGACATCATGCTTCCATGGTAACCTAATATTTTATAGTAACTTACTAGTACTATATTGTAGTTTTATTACAACGAATACTAAGGGAGTTATCACCCTAAATTACCATGGAATGTCAAGGAAATTACCGCGATGTATGGTCATGGGTTCGAGGCATCATAATTGCTCATATTTTTATTATCTACATATAACTAGTGCCACATACATATTTTTTTTAAAAAAAAGTTATGCTCACAAGGAGAAGATTGGTTGAACATTCAACAAGATAACAAGGTATTTACAAAGTCGGCAGAGGTTGTAAGGATATATATACAAGAACAGATGAAAAATATAATATCAAGTTGTGTAATAGAAAAAGAATACATGAGGAATTTGATTCTTTAAAAAGTTAGATGACCTAATTTAACCTAATAAAAAAAAGGATTTTTTCTTTTTTACATTAAATTGTTTATTGCAAGGTGGCAAGATTATGAGGGTTGCCTGTTGGTACTAAAAAGAATTGATGGGAGGAAATAAATATTGAAAGAGAAAAGAGAAATAATGAGAAAAACCTGCCTAGATCATGATGGATAGTGCATTTGAGGACTCAAAATAAGACATTTTAGAGAAAATTTTGAAATTTAAAAAAAAAAAAATCAAAATTACATTAATGTCCCTCACCCAAATACTCCACGTGTACTATACAAGGTTTTTGTGCTCATAGTGTCAAAAGCCAAAAGGAGCTCCATGGTTTAACTGAAGGAAAGAAACAGTTACAAGTATTTATTTAGCTTTGCCTAACAGTCAAAGCATTATAAGATCACAAGAGAAAAAAACTCTTCTCCGGACCACGGAAAAAGGCATTCAGAATGATTTGGTTCCCCTGTTAAATTACCAAAATACCCTGTTTGAAGAAAAAAAAATTTCAAGAACATCATTTGAATTGACAGAATTGTCCTCAATCTATTTCAAGAATTAGTGTCGGTAGACCAAAAGACCGACAACAAGAAGGATCATCTTCCCTACATATCACTGTATTTTCATCACTAATTTTCTGCTAAAAAACAAGAGATGCAACAATTTAAACAACAACAACAACAACCGGTTGTTGTAGGGGTTGATTTCTTGAATCAAATGAAGAAAGGGACAAGTCATGCCCACGAGGATATAGAAGCTGACAAGTCTAAACCTGCTGTGGATGACGTATCAAAAAAGCTCATTTGATCAAGACCATCAAAATTGAACAAAATCAGGTTTAAAAAAGTAGAAGCAAAAGAAAAAAAAGAATTTTGGTTTTTGAAGAAATCAATTAATGGGGCTATAATATGCGTGACTTAAATGGGTCCCTTTTTGGTGGAATTGGTTTGAAGAGAAAAGGAGGCATCAGAGGATTGAGAAGTCAGATGGATTTTAATGATGATTGAATGAGTCATAAAAAAAAAAAAGAAAGAAAGAAAAAAAAAAAAAGTAAAAATCTTTTTGGTCTATTTACAAAACTATCAAAGTTTCTACCATTTAAAACATCAAATTGAATACCATCAAAGATATTATCCCACCTCAATATAATATTGGTAATATATTATAATAAAGGTGACCCCATCTTGATGATCCTTTCTATTTATTAAGGGTCCACAAAGATGCTTTCTTTGAACATACACTATAACTAGAATTTAAATAAGAGTACTAACAGGGAAAAAGAAAGCATACCTTATAAATTTTTTTCTTGAATCTGGTACTAATCTTATTGAGAATTCTTTAGGTGGTTTTGGGAACAGCTTGCTTGAATGCAACAGTGGGAGCTATTCTGCAGCTCCTCCTCTGATGCTCAAGCACAAGTTCTCCTGCAAACCAGTCGAGTTTCTCGAAGTTGCTCTGCTCTCCAATTCTTTTACCCCCAAATAAAACTGATTCAACATTCTTCTGCTTCAACATTTCCTCTGCGGTTCCAATAAGCATTTTCACATTGCTGGGACTAGAATCAGAATCAACATTTGGTCTGCAGGGGCCTAAGGTGGACCCATTTGCCTATCATGCCAGAAATAATAGTGGGAAAATAAGAACAGTGACACAAAAAAGAAATTATTAGCAGCATCAAAAGAGGCAAAGATACTTTAAGCCCTCGTACAACTTAAAATTTTCATAATATTAGTTACCCAACGTAAAGATAATAAAACTTGTGAACCTACCAGTCTGAGTCAACTAAACTAGCTACAGAGCTACTGAAAGCATTTGTCCTGTGCCCCTTGAACTACCAGTCAATATTGAATTAAGAATAAATCACAAATGTCATCCAAGTAGACTACACATAATTAGTTCATTCTGAAGAATAACATTTGCAATACTGAAAAGGTGAGTATGAGTAATAAAGGATTGCGTTCCAAATATGCCTTCTCTTTTTCAGTGTCATTTCAGGGAATTGAATCCATTTTTCACTCGTTAGGCAATAAAAAAGAATTGAGCGGTCCATTATTATTGTGATAGTTTAATGGAAATAAATCAAATAAGATAAAGTTGCATGCAGCAGAAAGTGGCGTATCAATAACAAAAAAATTTCTAATTTCTATCAGGCATAGGAAAATAAGTTAGAATACTATATCCCTTGAGGGGGGGGGGGGGGAAAGATGTCCACTTTATGTGGCACATAGATAGGATAGAAAATTATAAATGTATATCCAAGCTAAGGTTTTCTCAGTGTAGACTTTAGGTGCCTAACATTAACGTGGGAAAAGAATGGGAAAGTCAGGGGTAAGGATCTGGTAAATTGGCAGGAAATAAAGCATACCATAAGCAGCCTCTAATAATAGAAGCTAAGCTACTTATGGAAAGCGTGTTTGGCCTTCCTACCTGATATAAAATGAGAAAACACGGATTCATTAGTGAAGGACAATTTTCCTGGTCATTCATTATATTTCCCACTTCTAACAAATCCAAACCTCAGCTCTCTAACCACAATATCCATTTACTGCAATAGAAAGAAATATAAGTTATCCCTCAAGGAGAAGCTACGCCCATTTACCCGTTCAGTCAATTTCTAGCACAGAAAATAGGTGATTATAATCTTTGGAAAGTTTTAACTACAACCAACTCTTCCTAGTTATACAATTAAATGGGAAAAAAATTCAGAAATTTAACCGAAGCCCTTAAGAATGGAAAAGCTATGCACTTAAGAGATTCTATTTTTACTGTTAGTTTAAATTTGGGCTTTGTTTAATTAAAGAGTAAAGCTACATAATTTGGACACAAGATACTGTTGTCAACTGCTAAATTTACAAGCATCTTCTTATTAGATTCATGTTCAATAACCACTAATATGCTAGTTTGATGCCTTATTGGAACAATCTATTCAAATTAAAAAAGGGGGATTCTATGGTGCCCAAAGACATCATTACCTCCATGGTAGTTTTCAACATTTATAGTAATTAAGTAACCAATGTAGTAATCACCTATATTATGCAGTTATCTAATAATTACAAAATCTTTGTGATTATTACATAAAGTCACTTAGTTACAATAAAATGTTAAAAATTTACTGTCATTCATGATGCATCAGAGGCAGCACGAGAGCACCCTAAAAGAAAATGAAAGGTGAAGAACATAGCTTGGAAGAAAAAAGATTAGTGGGGTGGGACTTTTGCAGAAAGTAAAAGCATGAGTAAAGACTTGCTTATTCAAAGGCTGAATTGAAGACCAAACTCAAAGGAAACAAAGTTCTATTCAATCAGATGATTCAGTAACTTTAGGTCCAATTATGAAACTGACATTTTGACCCAAAAAACATGCCACAACTCTTCAAGGAGATGAACAGGCTAACTCACATCGGTTGTCAACTTTAAGTTGAGGGCATAAAACCAAACCAACCTGACAGATCAATCTTTAGGCATGAAATTCAACCACGAAACCCATTGATTGGCCACAAAATCAGCACCAAACAGAGAGTGTAATTATAGTCCCCTTCATCATTTAAATTTTAATACAACACTTTTAATTCAGTAAACTTTACATAACAATTTAACAATATTGCACAACAAAAATAATTAACTGCGATTTATCATTACTAATTATTATATTAGAGTACAAAACTACTGCAAAATTTTACTAGATATGGGACATAAAAGGGGCACATGCGGACACTTTTTTATCCGGGTGCGTCTCGATAGATTATCTCTTGCAGTAATTTTCTAACATTTTATAGTAACATAATAATTTTATGCAATAATAATGTAGAATTTTCCGATTATCCCCCCTTAAACACACCTTGCTACTCCAAAGATTGTTTATTGACAAGGGTATCACGTGCAGCCCCAAGACACAGAAACCAAACCCAACACAGCACATAACAAGGCACAAAGACACGCTCAGAGACAGACATAGGTCCCCATTTTCTCAAATTGGTTACTTCTCTGCCTAAGTTTCCACTCTCTATGCATTTATTGGGGGTACATATCACTAAGAACCAGGGGTTGAGAGGCTGGCAAAAAACAGCATGTGTTACACTAAAACATAAACTGCACGTTTCTTTCCGCTAAAGATCAAAGACAGGGTGCTCCCTCCCCCTACCAAATTCAGCCTACAAGCCTACGACTTTGTCTCTCTCATACCCAAACCAGAAATGGCAAAATGGTGACACAGGGATCACAGTTGTACCTATATTAAGCGCCAAAAGGAAAAACAAAAATCGGATACTTAAAGGGATTTTCATGTTACCTTTTGAATCTACCGTAATGAAACTCCAGTAATAAGCAAATGGGTAAATGGGTTTTGTAAAATCAAACATATTTCTTGTGGGTCTTCCTCATAAATGGTAAATGTTAGAGAAGAAGAAATTACCTGAATACGGACGTAGTTACTGCTCCTCCATTGACCAAATGCCATGGCTACGGCTTGGTCCACGGAGTCGGCCGAGCCGTCTCCGGAGATTCGAGCCATGGGTCGAGCCCAGTCCTTGGCTCGCCAGTTCTTGACTTGCTCGTACTCGTAGCTAACTTCAAGGAGCTGACCTGTCCCTAGTGACAGCACCAGCAAATCCTCCACACCTCGTACGAAAGGGAACTCCTGCTTGTTGTGCAGTACGTGGGTAATGGCTGCGGCCGTTGGATTGCTCATGGCTAAGCCGCCGTCCACCGCCAAGCACCTTGTTTGCCCGTCGACGGACCGCATCTGAACAGGGTCGAGTAGACCCGGTTCGGCCGATGTCCCCCGGCAGACCTCCCAGAGACGGAAGTCGTAGCTGTCCGTCTCTAAGGCGTCGGCTCTGGAGAACAAAAACGGCGCCGTACTGGACAGGTCGTAGCACGGGATGAGCACCGGCTTCAACGTGTCCTTCAACGTCAGGCTCCGCCCGTCTTTCTCCGTGAATGCTTCCCTCATGGCCTTCTCCAGCCGTGCAGTACCCGACCCGCTTCCGGAACCATTCTTCAGCACCCGCTTCAGTAATCCGCCCCCGCTGGATCCTGGTCCGGCCCGGTAAAAGCGTTTCCCCTGTTCAGCGAGGAACCGCCACGTGTCATCCGCGTTGAAAATCGGACGGCTGCCGTCCTTCGTCCCAAACAGCATCGCCGTGAATATCCCACCAATTCCTGCTCCGGCTGCAACGTCGAAATAATCGGCGATCCTAGCGTCCGGATTACCTGACTTGGACTTGAGCGCGTGCTCCAAGTAAGCCAAGGCCTTGCCCGAGACAATCCCCCTCATGCCCCCACCATCAATACTGAGTATACAGATTTTGCCCCTCTGGTTCTTGATGGACGCCGAAACAACGCCGTCGGATGACTGGTGTGCTGGCACTGGTTGGGCCATGGCCGCAGTAGGTTCGGGTTTCGGATCGATTTGTTTGGGAATCCATAGCTTCTGGTCGTCATAGCCGAAGAGGAACTTGCTCTCGAGGATGGAGAAGATCTCGTAACTGAGCTTATCGGTATCGATGCTCGGTTCCTGCATTCCCGTGGAGGATAACTCCGTGCCTGTATCACTTTGCTTGATAAAATGCTTTATGTTTGGCTCATTACAAGAATCCATCCTCTTGTCTTCAATTGCTTGCATATTTAAAGAACGCGTAACTGATAATCTTCTATGTAGCAAAACCTTGATGATTTATGAGAACCTGGATTTTTGCCTTATTGACTGTCGTACTTCCGGTTTACAAAAAGAATAATCGCCTTGACATTAACGCCCATCCATTTAAATTTCTGGTAAGAAATTAACGGAGTTTTGGTTTCGTGCTTGACCAGAACGAGAAGAAAATAATCGTTCCTCTATGAGAACAAGGTTGAAGGAAGCTTCACCTGTTTGACAATAATTCGTTCTTTGTTGAACATTTCCATTCGATAGCCAAAGCAGTAAGAGGTCAGAAAAGTCTTCCTCCTCTCTCCTTCAATAAAACCAAACTCTGTCTTCTTCTTTTCCTCCGCAAAGTAATCAGAATTCGGAAATCTCCAAAACCGTCCCTCTTTCACTTGAGTTTTTGAACTCGAAAAACCAATCATTCAACGCGAGAAAAGAAGAGAAAAAGAGAAAAATTCTCTTGCTTAAACCCTCCACTTTTCTCTCTCATCTCTCGCTCCGTTGCGTTTGTCTCTATCTGGCTATTTCCCCTCTCATATATAAACACATAATACGATATAGCTATCTCTCTGGACGTTCCTCTTTTTTGCTTCTTTTTAACAGAGCACGCCAAAGCTAAGCTAAATAGGAATTGCTGCATCAAAAGCTTAACCAACCAACCAACCAACTAACACCAGAAAACAAAAATCAAAAGAAGCCAAAATAAATAAAGGACCAGAGATGGTGAGAGAGAAGAAGAAGAAGATGAAGGGGGCAAGAACACAGCAGCTGCAGAGCATGTCTGTTTATACAACATATATTTATATAATAATAAATAAGTAAATAAATAAATTACAATAAAATAATTTATAAATGAATAATTTTAAACATTCTTCTATTTTATTTATTTTATTTTATTTTTAAATCTTCGAGCCTCCTAATCTTCTTAACGTCACTGTTGAGAGGGTTTAAAACATGGCGATTGGGTCCCCGGGAGGAGCGAATGAGCCACCGACTACTGTCGTAGTACGTGTGCCTCCATGTCGTTTCACCTTACTAAGAATCGACGGCCCAGATTGCTCCTCCGCTGTTGCCCCGTGATCGACGGTCAAATCGGCTTTTTTCTTTTTATTTTTCCTTTTTATTTTAATTAATCTCCCGCGCTTGTCGTTACGCGTGGGGCCTGGCGCCAACCCCGTCGGCAAAAGAATGGGTACGCACTAATCGCAATGGTGTTTTTAGTACTTTGGCTTCGTATTTTTTCGAGACTAATTTACCCTTGAGTAGATTAATTAAGATGAGGCGGGGTCCACGGGTTCGATATAGGGTCCCACACTAGTTGTAGTCAACACACCGGGACATATTAACTGCAGGTGGCGATGGGGGTAATCAAGTAATTTACTGTGGGTAAATCTTAAGGTAAATTACCTTTCCCATTCTTTTCTAAACTTAATTTTCAGTAAAATATATTATTTATGTATTTTTTTTTTTATAAATATTAGTTAACACAAACCCTCTTTTATTTATCTTATAAATATTACACACGTTTTTTTTTTTTCGAAAGGTAGGATCTATGATTATCGAGAACAGTTTTTACAACAAAATTGAAAAACTTTAATAATAAAATAAAAATAAAAAGACTGGTAAAAAGTTTTTCGAATTTAAACCATATAACTAGCAAAAAAAAAAATTAAATAAATAAAAAATATAGTACGCGTTCATTAATTATAAACACTAAAGAAGTGTTAACTCGTGTGTATTATATGTCAATCATGATAACGATAAAGTTATCTAAATTCTTTATAGAGTACAAAGAGTGATCCATGATTAAAAAAAATTTAGTACTTGAAATCATCTACTTCCAACCCTATTAAAGCCCTCTTCTACCTCTTCAAAAAAATTTCTATTTCTTTATTTTTACACTACTCAAAAGATTGTTTAGCTTCTTATCAACGCATCAATGGTCAAAGTACATCCACATCTTACTTCCCGAATGAAGAACGTGATTACAATAGCAGTATTCGCATCCATATTTATTGGAATGAAACTTGTTATCTAACGAGTCATTCTTAACCAAACATCTAATAAAATGATCGTATCTTAAGGATCCATATTGGATTTAGGATTCAAGTCGATTGATCATCGCTCACATTTAAAGATACAAAAGACAATAAGCTCAAAAAACATCCGTAATCATTTATTTTTTTTAATTATTAAGATTTCTTAGTACCTTAAGGTGTCAGTCCTTTCCTTCTCCAAATTCTTTATATGATTCATTGGCTCATATACCTTTATATTATACGATTGTAAAGATCTTTGGACCTCTTTCTCAGTGTTTCCTCTCCGAGCTATGGATCCATTAAAAATTTTATTCTCTCTCATTGCTAACTCTCTACATGGTACATTTTCGAAAACTATTTATTTCTATATATATTTTTGTTCATACTCCTGTCTTATGCGGTTGTATTATCACTTTTGAATATCAGCTTATATCCATCCTATTAGACTTCACATATATATATATATATATATTTATATTAGTGAATTTCTCCCTCTCGAGCTCTATAATTTTTAATTTCTTATAAAAACTAAAATAAGATTAAGATGATATATAATGAGGAGATAAAAAAGAAAATGGATTTGAGCTCCTCATGAATCTAACTAATAATATAGAAAAAGATACCAACAGTAATCGACGAAAGAGAGACCAACAAAATAAATTACCTATATGATTTATTCCTTAAATATGTTCACATCTCCTTACAGTTCACGAAGAAGTTGTTCTATAAAATATTTTTTGCTCGGTCAGTCTAAAAAAAAGTATAAAATATCATTAATAAGTTCATAAATCTATGGTAAGAAAATTTATTGTATGATAAGATAACTAGAATTGGTTTTTCAACACTCGTGACAACAATTTATTTGCTTCTCTATTGAATAAGCCGTATATTTTTCTAAATACAAATTTTATGCCTATTTCATATTTTCTATTGTAACCCTTCTCTTATATGACTGTGTCTCGACAAAAAATTTATTCAAGCATAACTAAATTGGTTCATCAACCTTCAATATAAGAAAGTAGACTTCAGTCATAACTTATTATTTTTTATTAAATTAATATATTTATTTTTGAAATACTACATTCACCTTATAATATTGCAATTGGTAAAAAAATTTGACATATTAATTAACTATAATATGAATGCACTTACAATATTATATTTTGATCATTATAGATTTAATTTTTTAATTTATATGATTTATACGAATAATTTTGATTAATCAATGATAAAATTTGAAATTAACTTTGTAATATAAAAGAAAACAAAGATTAATATTAGGTTAAAACTTGGAGATTGAATAGTTTTAATAAACTAATTATACCACATGTAAAATTGTAAATTAATATTAATATTTTATTTTATAATACATTAAAAAATATTGAGTGGGCACTAAAATGGACCATGGACCACCTTCTAGGGACTTATTTGGATTCTATGGGTGACCAATAATATTTATTTTTTAATTCACATAGTCTTATCCATATATTAATAATAATAATTCCAATTTTTTTTTTAAAAAAGTTTAATAATCTCGTAACTTTTTATACATTAAATGAATTATATAAATAAGTGTCTTAATATTTTTTAGTGTTTCTCGTTAACAGACATTTTATTCATAAACCTTGTTTACTCCTAGAGATGGACATCAGTTCACTAAGGGCTAAGTCTGTCCAACTAGTGTTAGACTTGTACCTCTGAAACTAAATTTGGACTTTAATTATTCAATTGAAATGTGAAACTACTTAATATCTTTTTTACCATGTGTAGAATTTCATACCGTCTATTCACCATGGTGAAACTTCAGTACCGTACGTTTACTATGAACTTAACTTCTATACTATTTGTCCGTCAATATAGACTTTTATAACAGCTCATAATTAAGATGAACTCTCATGTTATTTGTTTCTGAAGATGTCTATCCATTTAAGGGTAACTTCTATACAATTTATATACAAAATTATAAACTTATCATTTGTTCACCAAATAATATATTTACCATCTATTCACCGTAAAGTAAATTTATTAATTGTTCCCTAATGATCAGATTATCATTTATCCGACTTACTATTTATCTACCAATTGTTAAAGTATATCATATGTAATCAAATGATTGACTTAACATTTATCCATAAGGAATAAACTACCACATTGTTATCAAAGAGATGTACTACTTCTTATCCGGTAAAGGGTATACTACCAAATTTTTGTTAAAAAATAGAGTTACAATCTATTTACTAAAGGATGAGTTTATCATTTTCACGGTTGGACTACTATTTGGCCGCTGGTAAGTATATTTAGTATCTAATTTTATTTTTTTTACATAAATTTACATCATTTGATATTACTATCATCAATAATTATTTTGTATCACAATAATATTCTATTACGTAAGTGTTTTTTACTCCGTACAGAGTTATATTCATATATTATTATCTATTTATTAAAGATTATATAACTCAAATAGTCATTATAAATAAAATAAGATCCCACTAAATTGAATAAGAAAAATAAGTGCTTATATTCAAAGTTTTTAGAGGCCAAAACATGTCTTCGTGAGTATCGAGCTTGCGAAATGTTACTCTAAAATTTTGCTTTTTTTTTTCTTTTGTTGAATTTGAGTTAATCCAATAAAATTTTGAATTTATTTATTTTTATAAAAGAAATTCACAAAATTATTAAAAATATTATTATATATTATATTTATATCTCACTTTCACATACTTTATTGATGTGATAAATCTCCATTAATTTATTAATGATTGATTGAAAAAGTAAAAGGTAATTTACATATAAAGCCATGACAGATGTAGGCAATTAGATAATTATATCATTTATTTATTTTTCATTTTAAATTTAAATTATATATTAACTTATGAAATATATATATATATATTTTCATATTTACATTTAAAATTGTATAAAAATATTATATTTCTATATATATATATATATATTTATATTTCATTTTCTTGCTATCTTTAAGAAATCTATTAACTTTTTACAACTTCATATATATATATATATGTGTGTGTGTGTGTGTATTTATATATCCCATAAGTTACAAAGAGAAAGGTTTCTCTTGAGTGCATTACCACCTTTAATTGCGGAATGGACTTTATTGAATTATCATTAATGGTGGTTTATAGCTAACCCACACTAACAACTTGTCAAATTTCATGTTAATTATGGGATTTTTGTAACATACATACCAAGTCAATACACACATATATATATATATATATGTGTGTGTGTGTGTGTGTGTACATATATATATATATATGCGATTATAACATGCTTGATTTTCTACCACATACCCACAAACACAAGCACCCACATGACATCACTTCTTAACTTTCTTGATCTATTCAACTTTAAAAAGAAAACAATAGATAAATTCCAACTTGGGTATTCCATATAATTTATTCACATCATACATATGTAACCCAGAAACCATGGCTGAATCCTCTATATATTACACACACACACACACACGTGTATATATATATATGTATGCATATATGTAAGCACGTATAAATGAATGAACAGTTCAAAAATATCACATGGTCCCAAGAGTGTTTATACGTGCATGTAGAGTTACTGGAACAAAAAGCTGGTTGAAATGAAGTTGAAACAGCTGGTGTGATTGGTACACGTGAAAGGCGTTTTAATGTGGGATTGGATGGTAGTGATGGCGAGCAGAGAGGAATGGGAGAGTAGTCTTGTGATGAG